GGGGGGGGGACCTCAATATCCAATAGTGTCATAGAAAACATGAAAGGAGTTTCAAATAAGACATGTTGATAGATGATGGATGATGGATAAGGGCCAGAATATGTAAAATATACCATTATGCTACTTACAAATGAGCAGGGGTTTTCCCCCTCTTAACAACTAACATACTATATAAAATTATTTAATTGGTGAGTAGACAGAAACAGGAATTTTGTGGCTGTGAGCTACATTCTGTTTTATGTATCTTAATGACAAAAGACAGATATTAAGATGTTGTGCAGTCAAACGTATACAGAAGGAAAGATAATTCTGCTAAAATGGAGTTGACTTTGAGGAATGTCATTCAGAATTTGTACTCTTCTGGGAGCTCTTTTGTTACATAATAGGAATACTGCAGATGATAAGTACTGGCCATATACTATAAGTATGTGAGTAGCATATTAAAATGTACAAGTCCTGGCAAAAGTTATAAGAAACATTCAAAAGCATTTACAACTTATATAGGGACCATCAAGTCACTCATGGGATACTGCTAAACTCACACAAAGATGATGTGTTTGAGTTTTCAAGAACCCTTGGGAAGTAATGCCTCTCTCTCATTTGCTTATGAAAGACCCAGTCTGTGTGCAAGGTTTATCCAGAGCCAGACTTGCATTGGTGAACCATCTGGGAAGACATCATAGCCATAAGGCAATGTTTCTGGTCAGTTTTTGTGTTAAAAATTACTCAAATCTGACTGATAAGAAATCATATGAGAGGAAGCCCAGTGCCTTTTCCGTTGTTACTGATGGACTGGAATCTGGGTTCTGGAATAGGAGTGTGAACTCCTGTGTAAGAAATGCCCTTTACTTCCCCCAAATGTAAATCAGCAAATAATTAATAGCAACCAGGGACAGATCCAGGTTTTGAGGGGCCTGAAGCTTATAGAATTTGGGTGCCCTCCTTAATTAAAAAAAAAAAAATGCAAAATTACAAATACAACATTCAGTACGAAGCTGGCTATTTATTTAGAATGAGAACCAAAAGGGACCTGCTGTTGTAAGGTCATAAAGCGTAAGGGTCAGTAACTGCATGATAAAGGAAGAAAGAGCAGGTAATCAGGCAGAGGAAAAATAAAAGATAAAACTCTGCTGAAGAAATACTGGAGCACAGAAAAAGAAAAAGACAAGAATAATATCCCAGAAAGAGCCCTGAATTGAGAAATATGGATGGTATGAGGATAGGAAAGGAGACAGAACTCCTAATCAATTTACCAAACACATTCTCATACTTATTTTCCAGTGAACAACAATCATATTGCTTCTAGGTTTTTGGAAATATCAGTCCACTGCAGGCATTCAACAAGTGTTTGTTGAGTGAGTGAATGAATGAATGGAAGCAAGGGAAATACTTCTTTCCAAATTTTTATTTATTGATTTTAGAGAGGGGGGGGGGAGGGAGAGAGAGAGAGAGAGAAAGAGAAAGAGAGAGAGAGAGAGAGATTTATTTGTTGTTCCATGCATAGGTGCACTCATTGGTTGCTTCTTGTATGTGCCCTGACTGGGGATGGAACCCGCAATCTTGGTTTAACAGGACAACACTCTAACCAACTGAGCTACTCAGCCAGGGCTGGGAAATATTTCTTTTTCTTACTCTTCACCAGGATCTGCTTTCTTCTGATGCTCCAACATACATGCATGTTTTTGCTGGCACTGGCAGGAGTTGTCAAAGCAACAGCTTATGCCAATCTCTTTTCTGGTGGTTAAGACTGTTTATCCTCCACAGGCCAAGTAAAAAGCTATCTTCACCCAAACTTAATTTGTAAGCATGTTCAGAATCTCCTCAAAAGGATTATACATAAAAATGGCTTCTGTGAGGCTACCCTACTTACCCCCTTCCTGCCTTTCTCCCTCTTTCTAAATCAGGTCCTACAGGTATACTTCAGAAATTATTAACACCCTCCTGGGTTGTGGACAGATTAGTGTGGGATTCTATCTAGGTTTGAAACACAATTTGTAAATTTCAAACATACCAATTATAACAACATAAGTGACAATTTTAAATACCAGTCATGATGAGGTTTCCAGAAAGATACTGAAAAGCTTCATATATCACTTCATTGGTCAGCTAGCTACAAACCCAAGCCAGGACCAGGGGAACCCAGGCTTACCAGCTGGCTCAACATAGGACAGGAATGGGGGTGGTGTGGGAGCTCTTATTAAAGGATATAAGCAGGGCATACCCTGACATTGACCCCAACTTCACAAATGAATCCTTTTGGGCAATAACTGCCCTACATCTTCCTGCAAATTCTAAAAAAAAACAGTGGGAGTAGGTTAAAACTAAAAGCCCACCCCTCTTTTTTTTTTTGTATTGTTCTTTCTCATTGAGGTAACATAGGTTAATATTATATGTTTCAGGTATACAACAGTATAATCTGATATCTGTATACATTATATTGGGTTAACCACCAAAATTCTAGTTTCCATCTGTCACCATATATCTGAACCTTTTACCTTAACAATTCTTCGTCCTTCCTCTTCTCTTACCAAATTTTCTAAAGAAAGGCACTTTACAAAAAAAAGGACAGGAATAACGCTATTACTGCATCGATACTACAAAAATCCGTATACTGATGTCCTTTGCTTGTTTAGGGATTAGAAGTGAGAATCTTAAATGGGAGAATATGAATTAGCCACTTCCCGGCTAGGTGATTTGACTCTAAACGCCTCAGTTTCTTGGTTTTGTAAAATGGAGGCGACTATGTTACCCACCCGACAGGACTGCTGAATAATGAGAAAATCTACATAAAGTGCTAAATAGAACTGCACAGCAAGAGCTAATTAAATGCTAGTATTTAATAGTAGTAATAAATAATTTTTCCTGCCTCTCGCAGTTCACACCACGAACAAAACTGGCACAACCCGCGTTTCTGCTTTGCTCTGGCTGGGGCAGCCACTGTTGCACTCTCGAATACACAATGCACGAGAGAGATCCCCTCCCTCCCCAAATGCCAGAGCGCTACTGAAAATCCCCTACTCTGGGGCGACCAGGGACCCTCAGGCTACCGCTACGGTTCACACTGACCTGAGATGCCACCTCCTATCACGACTACGTCGAACATTTGGCCTGAGAGGCTCGCCTTCTCCCGACTCGCCATGCTCTGGTTGACAGTCTCCCCTGGCGTGGATACAGGAGAGAGGCTGGCCAAGAGCTGGGAGGACTCTTCTATAGACTCTCCTGCTGAGCCCCGGGGCGGAGCCGATTCTTCCAAAGATAGCTGGGCAGAGTCCCGCCCTGAGGGCGGAGCGGATACTTTTATTGATATCCTGGGGGAGTCCCAAGGCGGATCCAGTTCCTCCACCGAGATTCGACTGGTACTTGGCACTGAGCCCTGGGTGGACACTCTTGCAGACATTTGGGAGGAGTTCACCAGCGTAGGAGGTTGTTGTGAACGCCTAAGGGGGCGGAACACTGGGGGCGGGCTGGACTCTGGTAACAACCCTCTGGAAGAGCCATAGACTTTGACAGCTTCTTGTACTGAACTCCGTGGGGTGCTGAGCGCTGGGGGCAGGGGGGTCACCTGAATGGACGGTAGCGAAGAGCTCAAGGACATGACCGGTTCTTGTACCGAATTCCTTGCGTTGCTCAGCATTGAGGGCGGGGGGGGCCCCTGAACGGACACTAGCGAGGAGCTTAAGGACAAGACTGGTTCTTGTACTGATTTCCTTGCGGTGTTAGGCACTGAGGTCAGGGGGGACCCCTGAATGGACGGTAAGGAAGAGCCCGAGAAGGGGACAGATTTTTGTACATGTACTTGGGGGGAGCGGGTTACCGAGGTTTCTTGTAATGACACTCGGGGGGTGTTATTTGGTGCTGCAGGTACTCGAACGGAAAACCGGGGGTAGTTGAACAATGAGGGAAGGGAGTAGCCATGTCCAGATATTTCTGAAGTGCTACTGGGTGCAGAGCTTGGTACCAATACCGTGAGGGAGCCGGGCATTAAGGCCTGGATGGATCCTTGTACCGATCCCCTGGGGATGTTATTAGATGTAGGAGGTTCAGTTACTGTTACCCAGAGACTATCGCTATCCAGGATGGAGTCGGGGGCAACCGCCTCAGAGGTGCTGGAGACTCTGTCTGAAATGGAGGTCCGGCTAGGCAGGCTGTAAGTGCGAAAGTCCCAAAGGCCGATGTTAGAGTTGCTATCAGTTCTTAGCCTAGTCTCGGGACCCAGCTGGGAAGGCACGCTGGAGGTCCAGGAGTCGTCCGCATCGGGTGTGGAAGTGTTCGACTGGTGGCTGGAAAGCGAGTAAGAAATGGTTCGCCACTCAGATACGATACTGGACTCGGATGTGGAGGCCCGGGCCGGGATCTGGGCTGAGGCGGGAACGACTCCTGGCTCTCGTTGAGCCTCGGGCCTACTCCCGCTGCCGGTGCCGGTGCCCTGAGAGGCCTCAGCGTTGTGTAAACTCATAGTTCCGGGGCGGCTGGGGGCTGACATTCTCCTCTCCTCCGCCCCGCCCCTAAGGGCGCCGGCCTCTCAGGCCCGGCTATTCCTGACCATCACTCTCCGAGGCTAGATCACCAAAGACCCGACATTGTTGTGGCCTGGCTCCGCCTTCCGCAACTGCTGCGGGCGCGCGCGTGGGGCATTCTCGCGTTCGGAGTGGTCTAGTGGCCAG